TGAGTATAGTATGTATTATTCGTTACACTGCTATACTGAGTATAACGAATAATACTGAGTCTAAGTTTACTTAGACTGGGATGTAACCATCTCAACGCTGACAAACACAACATAGTATGACCAGAAATTATTGAGAATTTTAGGAATATGTTTAATTGGATTTCTAGTATAAACAACCTTGACCAGCTATTAAGTGTTTATAACAAGGAAATCAGATCAGCTAAAGTGATTTCAAGTAGAACAGGCATCCCTTTGTCCACTGTTTATCGTGTTTTGAAAAATATTGCAAATGGATATGGCATTGAGCACCAGGGAGGCACAGGTAGGCCCAGAAAAGTGACAGGAGGCGGCTTAGTATCGGTATTCTTGTTTCTAAACACAAACGAAGGAGTTTAGAAAACTTAAGGCTGGATATGATTGATAGAGGAACTGTGGCTGTCTGTAAGGAGACAATTAGAACTGAGCTGCATGCAATTGGTTGGCAGAAAAGTCGAGAAATTCCATCACCGATCATGAAACCTGAACAAAAGGAGCAAAGGTTGAACTGGTGCTTACAGCATAGAAATTTTAACTGGGACAATGTGATTTTCTCAGATGAAAGTTCTGTGTGGCTGTTTCCTAATACACTGAAATTCTGGACCAAACAAACTGAAAAATCTTTGTATCAGCGCCCAAAGTACAGTCCGAAATTTAACATGTGAGGTGGCATATCTGTGTTAGGGGCAACGCCCCTCTGTGTATTTGAAGGGAATATGAACAGTGAGCGGTACACAGATATTATCGAGGGACATTTACTTCCATCTGCTCACGTGTTCTATGGAAATGTTTGGATTTTCCAGCAGGACAACGACCCAAAACATCGTTCAAATCATTCACAGGCCTGGTTTCTGACCCAAAATATGACATTATTAGATTGGCCAACCTATGGCCCTGACCTAAATCCAATAGAAAATGTTTGGGGACTTATGAAGGAAAGTGTCAATAAGAAAAATCTTACAAATATCGCTGAAATGAAAGAAGAGGTGGTCCGATATTCGGACAGCATGGACCACGACTTTCTAACTTCTTTGATCAGTATTATGCCCCGCCGCATTGAAGCCTGCATTGCTGCCCATGGTGACTCGACAAAATACTAACTGTTCACCTGTATTTGAATCTGGAGTTATGTTCTGCTAATATTCACATTTAATACGTGAGTAATGAGTGAAAAAAATAAATAAATTACAATCTTTAAATTCTCAATAATTTCTGATTGTACTGTATATCAGAGAGAGCAGATTGTTTGTGTGGCCACCCTATTGCAGATGCAGATCATTACTTCTTTATATGTCCCAGATTTGATGCTACAAGAGTAAATAAATTTAATTATACCAATTGCTTTTCATTAGAAATAATCTTATATGGAACGTCTTCTATGAACCAACAAACTCCAACCGATATTTTAAAATCAGTCCATCAATTCATAATTGAAACTAGACGTTAACTGAGATACCAATATGCTACAACCTATAATTCTCATAACTATATTACTACTGACCCCGACTGCAAATGCCATAAATGTATACAATCATCATGATCTTAATTGTTTTGACTACATGTCATACCATATATTTACATTAGATATCATTGTTCTTGTCATGATAATGTTTCATATACAGTCAGGCCGCGGTAATCCGGTCCTCGTTAATCCGAATCCACCGACTTCCGAACGCTACTCACCGGGCACCAAATCATCTCCCTATATATTGTATATAATTGACACCTCGTTAGTCCGATGATTCAGTTTCCGCCTCCGAGCGCTGGTCAGTCGGAACGGATGGGACTAATTAAGTTGTAAACAGCTGCGTTAATCCGAACGATTGAAGTTGACCGCGCTGCTGACTTGTCCACTCAAAGTGACACGTTGTTTGTTTAGCGACGTAGCGACTCATCCCTTTGATCCCTTTATCATAAGTGATAGGGAAATTTCGACGAACACGCTGTTTTGGGAAAGACTTCAATCCAGAAATATATGCTCGGTACCGAATTAAAATTATAAACTATTTTTCGCAATGTTATTGAAAACAACGATTCTCGGACACATGCTTCGGCAGCGGGTCCACAGTAACATTGTCAAAGAGCAAAGTAACGATGTAAATTGAATAAACTAATAGGTAGCGATTTCTTGCTTAATATGTTCAAAATAGCATTATTTTACCCAAAACTTTCGTCTAAATCTAAAAGTTTTCGTTTACGAGGACGATATCCATTGCCGTGATATGATTGGCTGCCTTAGGTCACGTGTCTGATTTTGACCAATCACGACCCTTATAGCAGACTGTAGCGAAAAAGCGTCATTAGAAACCAATTTTTATCCAATAAAATCGCTTCTTACAATTCTGTATCTATGTATACTGGAGCGGTCTTCATGTTAGTTCTTTTGAGCTTGTTCATGAACATTTCGTTGTTGTTTTTTTTCATGAAATAAATATGTTTAATTCAATACATCCGCAGAAGATGACAAGGTACTTGATGCATATGTAGTCTTTGTTTAATTGCCTATTACAGAATTTCTGCAGTTACCGGGTCGATCGAGTTTTTAACTTGGTTTCACTCCGGGTAAGAATCGACGGTCCAGTGACTGCGACGCTTCTAAACTACCGGCCAAAAGAAAGTTATCACTGTCTTCACGTGACAAAAAAATGGAAACAAAGGCGCATGTGAGATTTAAAACAAGCCGAAACATGAGTCTCATTAACCTGTTCAGACGATGACCTATACTTTTCAGCCGATCCGAATTTTCTCGTGTGAAAGTGAAAAGAGTCACTACAAACAACTATGGTTACACAAACTTCCAATTCCTTGTTTCATAAGAAAATGGTATTTACAAATGAATTTGAATTTTAAACTTTACAAAGATCGTATTTCTATATTTTATGACGAAGTTTAGGCAGCATGTCGTATATATAACGTGTACGGAAATGCGCGCCTGACAACTCTTAGTACGGTATGTCGCATCTATTTCGTCAATTACGGTGAAGATATATTCCTAGTTTTAAAATAAACTCGAGTAATGAAAGCGCATACGAAGAGCCTAGATACGGTAAACTGCGCCGAGAAGTTAGATGAAAAACGTGACAATTTACTTCGGTAAAGGCGCTATACCTGGTTAGGTCCCGTAAGTTCTACCTTTAATTGGATAGGTGTAAAAACAAACTGGTCGGTGTGGACAGACAGACAGACAGACAGACAGACAGTTATTTTATTAAAGTCTCACCTCGTACATAAGAACATATATACAGTACAGTAAAATACATTAACGAGCCACCCATTTAGGGTTATGAGAGACTGTCTTTAAATAAAATAACATAATATGCAGATGGTTTTATTTTGCTACACACACATTATACATTAAACTATCCATTGTATTTATATGTATTAAAGTGATCTTTATATTATGCTTTATGTTATATGATATACAGTCGAAAGATTTACCTTGACTTCGTTCTGTAAAAGTCCGTGGTTGTGGACGCTATTATTATTTTCGAAATTATAAAGCATGCTGCACGTGCGACAGCATGTAGTATGTGTTTCTTGTATTTCCTGGTTTGTTGTCGTTAATTGTATCATAAAATACACAAAACACTGTCACATAGTGGCTTACCTCTCATATTTTCTAAAATGAATGGTTTCCATTCCAAATCCATGGTAAACTGTTGTTATTTGTTGTTGTTTTTGTTTGTTTGTTTGTTTTTTGTTTTGCTTGTTTTTCTTTTTTTCACAAAACCACAATTTATGAGTGTTTCTCCTCCACGAGCACTTGTCAGTTCTTCTTGTCACCACTACAGGATGTCTTAATTTGTTTGAATACCTGTTGACATCTGGTTAATTTGTTATATCATTATTGCCATTAATCTTTTATGAACTATAAGTTCAATATTGGTTTTGTATTGTTGTCATGCAGTACTAAATAGTGAGTCTCATTATTTTGCTCACTGACTTGTCACTTCACTTTATTATTTTCATACCCACTTTATTCTATAGTTACTTCACCATTTGTCTCCACAGCTCCACCTGTATGCTTTGTTAAGTTTCATGTCAACAGACATTCTTTTATCATTTTTTGTTGTTGTTCAGTAATATTTTAAGAAGATGTGTAAACGCTTGTCATAATACGTCCCTTTTCTTTTTGTTGGGTATGAGTGTGGGGTGTTATGCGTGTGGGGGCCTATAAGCGTTCTCAGTCCATCCCTTCATTTCCCTTCTTCCACGGATTAGGCCGTAATCGGTGAAATATATCTCCCTCAGCTCCGTCCTAGAAGGTTGATAAATGTCCTCTTTGGGGTTACGCTAGTCTGTCTCACAGTCCCTGAACCACATTATTTTCCCTTCTACCAAGCCCTCTCTGCAGTGCTAAAGCCCTAAATAAAGCAAGTCTAGATTTCCTCAGGTTCAGGATCTCCGAATCTCTGGTCTCCCTGGGGCCCCTCTTCAATTTATATGGATTTGTTTGTTACTATCCAAATTATATATATTCAGAGGCTAAGCGTTAGTCTAGGGTTTCGCTGACATGACTCTATAACAAGTCACGAACGTAGTCCCTACCACACATGATCCCAGTTTGGACCGCGGTATATAGATCCCATTTGTGGCGTACCTGCGTACATTAAAAGTTGTCTATTATTTATAGACATGTGTGTCAGTGTTATCGCCTGTATATCGCTTTCATAGGACATTCGACTATGTTAGATAATCACCCTGGCGTGTAGTATTGTCTCATACGGGAACATAATCTAATCTAATATCATAATTATGACTCATAAACAGATTTATGATCGTACATACATAACAATGCTGAAAAACAAAGCCTTTCTTTTTTATCTGGACTTAATGTCGGGAATGCTGTTTGCCCCACAAGCCAGAGTGCCCCGCCTTCGTTTTGAACCAATCAAAATCAAGCACCGCATGGGTTCAAGGACTCTGAAAGGTTATAAAGTCTCGTAAACAAACTTCGTGACAATCTTCTGCAACAGCTAGTGTTTTGTGTAGTCGCTGACGAAGCTATTCTGATCATCATGCGTATGTTATGTGTCCAAAACTTCATCAATGGAGAGTTTTTGTCTACAGATAACTACATTGACAGTTATAATCCGGCGACAGGCGATGTTTGGGCGCAGATCCCAGACAGTGGGAGAGAAGAAGTTGGAACCGCAGTCCTGGCAGCTAAGCAAGCATTCACAGGGTAATTTTACAATATCCTTATGTTTTGGGTTTTCGACACCCGTCGTTGTCTAAATTATCACATAAACAATTGTAAAACATGTCCCTAACCTATTATAGACAACTTCATCTAAACACAAGATATCATCCATTTTATAACAATGTACTGTACAGTACGTCTTTGTGACGCAACCCGCCTTGTTTCAAGCGCAAATTACACCTGACAACCGAAAACCTATGATCCAACGAAATTTTTCTGAATTGAAAACTCGTAATACAAGAGAGAAAATACGACCTTTTTTACTTAGAACTACAGAGGCGTGCAAAAAGTATTCGGCACTTGACGTAATTTCCATAGACTTACATGTTAATTTGATGTAGCATAAATAATTTTACATTAATTTAATTTTCGTAAAATCCAAGTCAAACTTGCACATTTGTTAGGAATAATCTTACCTACAATCACATAATTTCTGTTTAATTTTCCGTTGCTTATTTATCGAATGGCAACAATTTAACCAACAAATGTACATTGCCGTGAACTCCTTTAACATGGCGGGCTATGGGATTGGGCTTTGTGGAACCATACGTAAGTTGATAAAAGTGATGTCATTAGTTAAATAGTGGTCGGAAAATTGAACTGAAATTATGTGCGCAGAGCAGAGATGAGTTCAAATTTGCCTGTCAAATTTTACAATGATCCATCCTAAACTCACTTCATAAAAATAATTTATTCTACACTGAAATAGCATGTAAGTCTATGGAAATTACGTCAAGTGCCCAAAACCTTTTGCACGGGTCTGTATTTTATTGTTGCTACTGATGAAATTTATTTAGTGTTATAATTTAAATGTCTAATACAACAGATAGTAGGGGTGGGTATTGCAGAGAATATTCATATTGCGATATATTGCGATATGTATTGCAATATATTGCATGAAGTATTTTTAAACAAAAAAAGTACTTATAATCAAGTTACTGCTTGATTTATAAAGCAAAAACACAACAAAGTCACTATGCTTTGATTAGGCTTTAAGAACAACTTTTAATCATGATAAAATAAAAATGTGAATAATATTTGGCACAAATGAAACAAGGAAATATCCGAAGATTTCCGAGTGTTACGACGTTTTCCGAATGCAAGTCAAATACCGGTTTTCGATCAGCGTATCGCAATACGTATCGTTTTCATGTCTGAACCGGTAAATACCGGTAAACCGGTTATATTGCGCAGCCCTAACAGATAGACACCCTTTCTACCTTAGAACGATTTCTTTGTAAATTATACTGAAATAGTGTTATAAATGATAGAAAACTAAACTTTACTGCCCCGTGTCACAGCTAGCGCCCCGAAGCAGCAATATCAGGGTGGGGTCAGCAAACGGTGATAAAACTGAACACAGAACCATGTATGTCGCTGTGTTTTGGGTACAAGAATGACTGTCTGGGTTATCACGTGACTAATTGTAAAACATGCCACTTTCTTATTGGACACTTGTTTAGCTTAAAGTATTTACACAACCCACTTGTTCTAGCGGAGTAAACCCATCATTATTACCATACTTTAAAGCTAAAAATAAATAAATAGGGAATTGTTGGAATTCTCAAGATATATCTTCGGAAACTATGGTATTGGCAAATGGAAATTATATGATCATATCTGAAGATTAGAAATTCCATACGCACATAATAATTGTAGGCCATCATATTTTGGTACAGGCTGCTCACACTGGCTGTATTTGTGCCATCAACTGTTCAGGCTTTGAAGGAATTTATTTTAAATTGCACCAAACAAAACCAGTTGCCCCCACAGTTTATAACCCAAATATACAGTCCGTTTGAGTCGGACCGATGAATTGCAAATGTTATCATTGTACAAAATTGCCACATAAATATAAATAGTACACATGTTTATCATTTACTAATACCCAACAGCTTTCTTATATTTGAAAATTGTTTGTTTACAGAATTTATGTCCTAAAATTTAAAAGGTTGTTTAACAAACTATCATTAAAATTTTGACACAGTTCACTATTTGTTACGAGGGAGGAGTGCAGAGAAAGGGACAGCCTGGTGTGCGAGAAAGGATGGAGACGGCCCAGCACAGGTTAATGAATCAATAACTTTGTGGGCACTTGTGCACGTGCTTCTCGAACACCTGGCTGTCCCTTTCACTGCACTCCTCCCTCGTAACAGATCAGCGGTTTGAAACCATGATCGTTTGTTAAATAACTTTTATCCTAAGTTGAATAAAATTCTGAGATTTAAATGTACTCACCCTTTAGCTAGCACTACACACTACCCTAAGTATCCACAGAAATTAAAGGAGTACAATTTGTTGATAACAGTGCATGATTCATTTCATGCTTTTTGTTTTTAGTAAAAACAGAAACAAATTTCATTTAGTTGTATTTATTTTGTCTTTTAGCTGGTCACAAACACCTGTAGAGGAACGTTCCAAGATTGTGAACAGGATAGCTGACATTCTTGAGACCCGAATTGATGAGTTTGCCGAGTTAGAGTCACATGACCAGGGCAAACCAGTCTGGTTGGCTAAAGCCATGGACATCCCTCGAGCTGTCCATAACTTGCGATTCTTTGCTTCATGTATTCTCTATGATCTGAATAGGTGAATGTCTTCTCCCAATTGTTTGCATGATGTATTCGTCCAATTGTTTGCATGATGTATTCTCTCTGTGATGTGAATAGAGTGTCTTCTCCCAATGTTTGCATGATGTATTTTCTGTGATGTGAATAGGTGAATGTCTTCGCCCAATTGTTTGCATGATGTATTCTCTGTGATGTGAATAGGTGAATGTCTTCGTCCAATTGTTTGCATGATGTATTCTCTGTGATGTGAATAAGTGAATGTCTTCGCCCAATTGTTTGCATGATGTATTCTCTGTGATGTGAATAAGTGAATGTCTTCGCCCAATTGTTTGCATGATGTATTCTCTATGATATGAACAGGTGAATGACATGTCCTGATAGTGTGCAATATGTACTCTTCAAGAACAGAGTAGATGTTCTTGTTCTGATTGTTTTAATTTAAATTTAAATGCCAGAAATGTGTCAGTGTTTTTGTGACCTAATAAATTCAAGTGTAAAATATCGAAACATCACTTTCTCATCTGACCGGTATTAGACAGTTTTACGTCTTCAGCAAGACATCAAGTTACATAAACCGATAAGACATTGTTGGTCCTCCATACAGATCCAATGTAATGGACAGTGCTGATGCTGTCAACTACACCATCAAGCAGCCAGTGGGTGTGGCAGGCCTCATCAGCCCCTGGAACCTGCCTCTGTACCTCCTCACATTCAAACTGGCTCCAGCAGTCATAACTGGCAATACTGTAGTGGCCAAACCCAGCGAGATGACCTCGGTGACTGCGTTCAAACTGTGTGAAGTCTTCAAAGCTGCAGGTTAGTATGGGTTAGATCTAAATACAGGGGCGGTGGGGTAGCCTAGTGGTTAAAGCGTTTGCCCGTCACGCCAAAAGCCCAGGTTCGATTCCCCTCAGTAAGTGGATAAAACGCGTGAAGCTCATTTCTGGTGTCTCTGCCATGATATTGCTGGAATATTGCAAAAAGCAGTGTAAAACCCAACTCACTCACTCACTCTGTGTCTAACTCAGTTTACAAATGCACTCTTTTGGGTGTAAAATGCTGGTCTTAGAGGTTTTAGAGCATCTTTGAGCAATTTGCCATATGAGATCTTCCATGATATTGTTTGAGAAAAGGGAACAAACAAGTCTGGAAATACATGTGTTTCAGGTCTACCTCCTGGAGTTATTAATTTCGTGTTTGGCTTGGGATCCAAAGCTGGGGAGGCAATTGTGACACACCCTGATGTCCCCATCGTGTCATTCACTGGGGGCACGGTCACAGCAGAAAGACTCCGTAGGGCTGCAGCACCACTCTGCAAAAAACTGTCCCTGGAGGTATGATTCTGAGGTTTGGGTTGCTGGTGCTACCTGCGTAGACAGACCTTAATATACAATGAATGTGCTAAGCATTTGCATGGTCAAAGGGGAGATAATTTCAAAGACATGTCTAATTATCTCCCTTTGACCTGATGATCAATTCATATTTACATTTGGTTGGTAGGTGCTGAGATGACATAATTACCAAGTATTCCAAGAAGATTTACGGAAAACTACTCATTAAATTTCCCAGTCATAACTCGAATATAGTGTGGGTATGCTAATATATTGTATACATGATATTTGTTATTGTTTGTATTGTCAGAGACCTGGATATACCAATACTAGTATATGGTTTCTGATATTGTTAACGACCTTATCCATCCTTTCAAGGGAGATGTATGACAAGGATGTTTAGCCCACTAGGTCTGGGCTTATGAAATGTAACAGAAGTGTTCACATTAGCAAGTATCATTTATATTTGTTTTCAGTGACTGAGTGTTTTAAACCTGAGGTAGCAAAATGTGAGGTTCAGATGGGGGTCTGCATTTTGGTTGGTGATCAGAAAAGAAGCCTAATTATGCTTTCAACATAGTAGATGCTCAATTTCTTTTATTATATCACTAAACAAAATGAAATGAGTGAAATATTTTTTCGTAAAGTGGGGACTGATGATTTTAAAGAGATACCATTCATAACATTAGGGTATGTTAACATGCAATCCCTGTGGAAGACCATTGCTCCCAGTATGTGTTTCTGGCGTCCTACTCAAACTAAACAACATCAAAAACATCTTCCTCCTTTTGTATGATCTTTGAAGAGGGAAGTTGTTGTATCTCGACTTGGAAGCAAACAGCGCATTTTTTCTCTGTAATTAGTAATGCATTTACCAAGATTACTGAAATATTTGATCTGTGACAACTACAAAGTAACCTTTGAAACTATCTAACACATCTCTTTCATCACCTGTCAATCATCAGCAATTGATCAGTGACTCCTAACACTTGTCATGGTCATGGATTCATGAACACCTTTGGAAATTTCTTCCATCACATTTATCATGTCTACCACTTTCCTTATTGAGGTAGCTCTTAAGACACGTTTTCATCTAATGATGATATTATGTGAAGCTATTTTTTTTGTCCAAACTGCAAGTATCTTCCTATAGGGCAAGATGAGCAATGTGCCCATATCAATTCTCCTTTATTTCAGAATTACACTGTGTTGTTGTATGGCTGTTGGTAAAAACATGAACTTATATATATAAAAAAATAAGGTCATGTACTGAGTACACAACATTGTTTACTTAAAAGAACCCACGAATGCGTTGGTAAATGGCCAGATGATGGCCACATGAATACGTGCAAACACCTAGTTGCATGTACAGCAACGTGGAGTAAACTTGGACAAAGTACTGTGACTTATAATGTTCCCAATCCATCCAGTTGTGAATGGGTACCTCGTAAGGATGGGAAAGCCTCATTAACTCGGTGCACCTAGTGGCTGCAAGAGTTGTATGATCCCCAGGGTGTTGAGATTGATATGACGATGTGCTGATTTGAGATTGACATCCAATAATAGAGGGGAAAACCAGCTGGATATTGGCGCTATACAAATACTAGCATATTAATTCCTGTAGGTTTGAGCAATGTGCTCACGTTGCCTCTCCTTCTTATTAGCAATGAATTAATTCTGAAGGTATAGAATACTGACATTGGTAAAACAATTGACATGAAATGACTTTCACTTGTGATTACCTTAGATTATGAACCTTTCATAGAGTGAGGCCCAAACATTGTATGAATGTCTTGCTCCTGCTGTTGATCACTGGATTGGCTGGTCCAGTTTCGGTTATTTACAGACTGGCGTCATATAGCTGAGAATTGTTGAGTGCAACAAACAAACGCACAAACAATCTAATATTCATACAGTTTATGCCCTCACGCTATGAAGATTCAGACCCATATGAGCTTACACAAGTTGAAAGTCAGTTCCTAAATAATACCCATGGATGAACATTACTCCATCAGATAAGTGAAGTTATTAGTGTAATATTGATAACCAAGTTTTTTGGTGTGTTTTGTTGTGTTACTAATCCTTACTTTACTAACTAATTTTCTATTTTCTATATTGCCAAAACTGACATTGTGTTGAAGCCATTTTGTATTGAACTCTGACATGTCCAGAGCAAAATGAATGTTCAATCGTGACAACTCGAGCAATCTGTATGTATTTAAACAACCTTCTAAACTTGAAACAATGGTTTCTACTGTCAGCTTGGAGGCAAAAACCCAGCTGTTATATTCAGTGATGCAGACCTGGACAAGTGTATACTGACCACCATCAGGTAATGCAAGCGCACTCGATCACATACTGCCAACACTGTCGCCAGAACATTTTGCAATCCTCGTTCTATAAAATATAGTATTGTAACAAAGCTGTATCTTAAAGCTAAGTAAAAAGAAATCCTTAAAGTAGTTGGTTTATTTCAATGTTGCAAAAGTTCATTTGAAAAAAAGCCCATGTAAGTTAACCCTTTTATCCCTTTCTTGAATTACCAGGGTATTTTTATTTCCATGTTTCGATGAATACCCAGATTGCTCTGAGAAGATATTGGTGATTGTGATACCAGAGAATGGTATAAATGCGTAAAATAGGTTGTTGTTTTTTCAGACCTAATGGTCACTTTTGGACTATTTGTTTTACCTGAGAATCAGGATAGTGGTCATTGATATCCATCTATTGCATTCTGGGTAGTGATCAAAGCAACATGGCGGTAAAATTATTATGGTAATTTGAGGATTCTCCATTTTCGTCATCAGAGTTCTTAGTATGTGGCAGTGTTTGGTATAATGTTTGATTGTAAAATTCTTGTCTTTTTAAAGACACTCTCCTGGCCTTATAGCCTATGTATCAAGATGTAGCCTATATCTTGTGTTTTAAACATCACAGGTCTAGCTTCCTCAACCAGGGGGAGATTTGCCTCTGCACCAGCCGGCTGTATGTCCAGCAGGACATCTATCAGGAGTTTGTAGCAAGATTCTTCCAGGCAGCCAGGTAGGTTGTTCTTCAAGGACATATTTGTCCAGGCAGCCAGGTAAGTTGTTCTTCAAGGACAGATTTGTCCAGGCAGCCAGGTAAGTTGCTCTTCGAGGACAGATTTGTCCAGGCAGCCAGGTAAGTTGCTCTTCGAGGACAGATTTGTCCAGGCAACCAGGTAGGTTGTTCTTCAAGGACAGATTTGTCCAGGCAGCCAGGTAAGTTGCTCTTCGAGGACAGATTTGTCCAGGCAGCCAGGTAGGTTGTTCTTCAAGGAGTGATTTGTCCAGGCAGCCAGGTAGGTTGTTCTTCAAGGACAGATTTGTCCAGGCAGCCAGGTAAGTTGCTCTTCGAGGACAGATTTGTCCAGGCAGCCAGGTAAGTTGCTCTTCGAGGACAGATTTGTCCAGGCAACCAGGTAGGTTGTTCTTCAAGGACAGATTTGTCCAGGCAGCCAGGTAAGTTGCTCTTCGAGGACAGATTTGTCCAGGCAGCCAGGTAGGTTGTTCTTCAAGGAGTGATTTGTCCAGGCAGCCAGGTAGGTTGTTCTTCAAGGACAGATTTGTCCAGGCAGCCAGGTAAGTTGTTCTTCAAGGAGTGATTTGTCCAGGCAGCCAGGTAGGTTGTTCTTCAAGGACAGATTTGTCCAGGCAACCAGGTAAGTTGCTCTTCAAGGACAGATTTGTCCAGGCAGCCAGGTAAGTTGCTCTTCAAGGACAGATTTGTCATGGAAGCCAGGTAGGTTGTTCTTCAAGGAGTGATTTGTCCAGGCAGCCAGGTAGGTTGTTCTTCAAGGACAGATTTGTCCAGGCAACCAGGTAGGTTGTTCTTCAAGGACAGATTTGTCCAGGCAGCCAGGTAAGTTGTTCTTCAATGACAGATTTGTCCATGTGACCTGTTGGTTTAGCTGTGTTATAACCAATAGTTTAGTTATGTTATAACAATGGCCTTCATGACTTAGCTATGACTCCACTTCAAAGACTGTTCTATCAACCACAGGTGTGCTTTGCCAAGTTGGAGATCCCCAAAAGTTCCCAACGATGAGCATGTAATTTCAGTGATCTAGTTGTTGGTGATCCCCTAGGGCCCTGATCATGACCTGTAGCCCCTAAAGGTTCCTGAGGATGAGCATGTAATTTCAGTGATCTAGTTGTTGGTGATCCCCTAGGCCCCTGATCATGACCTGTAGTCCCTAAAGGTTCCTGATGATGAGCATGTAATTTCAGTGAGCTGGTTGTTGGAGATCCCAAAGGGCCCCCATCATGACCTTGTAATCCCAATAAACTGGTTGTTTAAGATTCCAAAGGCACCCATCATAACTATGTAATTTCAATGAGCTGGTTGTTTAAGATCCCAAAGGCACCCATCATAACTATGTAATTCAGTGAGCTGGTTGTTTAAGATCCCAAAGGCAAAAGGCGCCTATCATGACTATGTAATTTCAATGAGCTGGTTGTTTAAGATCCCAAAGGCCCCTATCATAACTATGTAATTCAGTGAGCTGGTTGTTTAAGATCCCAAAGGCACCTATCATAACTATGTAATTCAATGAGTTGGTTATTTAAGATCCCAAAGGCCAAAGGTGCCTATCATAACTATGTAATTTCAGTGAGCTGGTTGTTTAAGATCCCAAAGGCCAAAGGTGCCTATCATGACTATGTAATTTCAGTGAGCTGGTTGTTGGAGATCCTAAAGATGTCAACACTTTCACCGGTGCCCTCATCAGCAAGGAACACCTTGCAAAGGTCAAGGGGTATGTGGAGATTGCCAGGTCAGATGGAGCCACAGTCCTGTGTGGGGATGGTGTGAAGGAACTGGATCTGCCAGAGAAATGCAGAAATGTAAGATGTTACAATGGCACAATGACTAAAGGAGTGTTACTGAACTGCCTATACCCATGCCTACTTAACATCCCCGCCCGGAGAGCGGAAGGTCGCGGGTTCGATCCCCGACCGCGTCATACCAAAAGAAGTTAAAATATGGTACTTAGTGGTCCCTGCCTGGCGTTCGGCATTAATGGATACAACAAGGACTGGTCGGCTCGAAGTCATTATAATGTGTCTGAGTGGGGTATTCATGCTTCACTGCGGCGTGGTATCTCAGTGGACTAGCACTATAAAACCAGCTTAAGTCTTGGCTAGTACAAGCAGCCGCACATACACATACACACGCATGCACGTCGTCATATGAGCGAAATATTCTCAAGCACGACATTAAACCCAATTTCACCTCACCTCACCTTAACATCCAAGTACCGAAAAATTATTTGAGATGGGAAGTTTATACTGTTTAATTTGTATTCCTCACTCATGGAACACTGAGTTAACATTGTGGAATAAGTTCTATATGTCTGTTTCCTTTCCTTTGCAGTTGTCAAATGAGATTTAGTTTTTGATGGTTTGATCACTTTTAAATATAATAGCAAAAGTGGGGCACTAGTGAGTGATTTGGTTGTTTAAGCTGCAGTTCATCACACTCCTAGGGGGCACCTAGGTTCTGGTCCCGAGGTGGGCACATTTGCGTAGTATCCTTGGACAAGATACTTAGATCCAAATTGACTCCGTTCACCCAGCTGTAAAATGGGTACCCGTGAGGATGTGCTGGCAATGGGAGTGTTTAGTTCATTGCACTGTTTAGTTCATCAGGCAGCATGGCTGTATGCTCCCCGTAGAGTTGAAAGAGTACCGGAAAGTACGATAGTGTCCAATGACTGGGGATAGTAATGTATGTAGCGCCGTAAGCAGGCAATGTGCCTGGATATGAGCCCCATATAAGCAGACTATTACTATTATTATTTTTATTATACTGAGGGCCCAGTTTGATTCCTGAGTGGAAGCAATATGTGTCCAGGTTTTGTCCATCAATATTGCTGGAATATTGCTAAAAGCTATCAACTCACTGACTCATGTTCCAGGGCTACTTCATGAGGCCAACCGTCATCACAAACGTCACTGACGATTCTCGCCTCATGACAGAAGAAATCTTCGGCCCGGTGGTCTGCATTGTACCATTCGAGACGGAAGAAGAGGTGAGGTTTCTCCATGAGGGCAGGTGTTGACACCTCCATAGTCCATTCTTCACATCATCGGAATAGCAGAGAGACTTTGCAGAGTTTCATTCAATAAATCTACTTGTAATCTTACTGCATAGTAATGAAAATCTTCTGATCTATTTAGACCTTAATGCAGTAAAATCAGTTTAAAAATATAATATTTTTTTAAAGACGTGTGTTCCAAATGTACAGTTAGCACCACTGTGTCACATGTCTGTTGTACTGTAGGTTGTGCGGCGTGCTAACAGTGTGAAATATGGTCTGTGTGCAACTCTCTGGACCCAAAATCTCAGCCGAATGCACCGGATAGCTCAGAAGTTACAGGTAGGAGCAGCATTAAACCACCATGGATAGCTGTTGGATAAGTTGGTGGATAGTTTGTGGGCTGACTTCAGGTGTGACAGGAGTAAGTACCACAGATCCAAACTTACAACTACAGCAGCATCCCAATAGAGTTGGTGGATTTTATGAATGCTTTCATCAATATTTCCTACTAGGTGTCCGTGAAATCCATAATCATGTGAGAATATGTAGATGATATCCAACAATGATCTGTTCAGTAAAATATGATAAAAGAAGAAGTCGTTTATGATATTTAAGTAATTATTCCACAGTTTTCAATCAGATTTGCAACTTCTGGATGAAGAAGTTCAAGACTGGCAATAACAAATTAACAAAAGCAAAGAAAACAACAATCAACAACGTCAGACTCGCACACATCTTTAAGAAACATGCCGAATCATCAATTTCTATCCTTAATTATTTGCATTCACCTAGCAGATTATGCTGCCCATGTCTCCAGATAGCTGTATCTGCATCCATACAAGTGCTGTACAATATACAGTGTCAGACTGGTTTATACTGGTATTGTGACTTTCAGGTTGGGACTGTGTGGGCCAATTGCTGGCTTGTGAGAGATCTTAACATGCCCTTTGGTGGAACAAAGGAGTCCGGCATTGGACGAGAGGGAGCCAAAGAGTCCCTCGAGTTCTTCACAGAGGAGAAGACAGTGTGCGTCAAGCTGTGAATGTTACAGGGACTAAAACAAGAGATTAATGGTTGTCTGGACAAGAACATGGAAGTTTCAGAGAAGCTCACACAGAAATGAGTTTTTGAAATCATGCCTGAAAATAGATAGGCATACATATCCAAAGTTATCATTACTTTATCATTAATAAATCATTACTGTAATGAAAGATGGATGTTCTTATTGTTACGGTAATTGTTTTATTGTTAATGCTGCGTTCATGTATTCATGAAGATTAGTTATTGTTCATGCACAGTGTCTTATGACACAGTGGTACGTCGACATCTTGAGACCTTTGATGAGTTCACGTCTATAAACAGCCATGGTACCAAATGCCTTCTTTTACCCCTGGAAGATATGACTGCTTGAGGACAAAGGGACCACAACTGATGTGCCTAATGTTTGTTTTATATTTTGGCTAGCAGGGTACTTACATCGTTCTGCACATTCCAGTAAACAGCTCAGGAGTATGGGCACACATTGTCCTGTGGCTGGTCAGTTGACCAAGTGCACTGTTCATGGGTTTGAAGGCTGTAGTCACCTCTTGATGCTCATTGTAGTTGACATTGTGTACATGATACTGAGAATTGTCTATAACACTATTTGTCTATCTGTGTTGCAGGCTTTACTATGTGATGTCCCTTGCTACTCAAGAGAGTTCATATGAGTGCATGTGATAATTTTGCTTGTGAAAGGAAATTAATTTTTGGTATCGGTTTTGGGAGGATGATTGTTTTGTTTTCTTCTGTGTGTGTGCATGCGTGCATGTGTGTGTGCATGTATGTGTGTGGGATGCGTGTATGCACATGTGTGAGAGTGAGTTAGTGATTATCTCCATGCGTGTTTTGTTTTTGATAAATATTTTGTACCTTATTGACTTTTTATTCATTGTGTACATGCATCCTGTATTTTCTACATTTTGATTATGTAATATCCCGGTATTATTTTCTACATAGCATACTGATGTAAATATTTCAAGCTGCCAGTTTATATTTTGTGAAATATTAAAATAAAAAAAATAATAAATAAATGATATTTTGTTTATGTAAGTTTATGTTTCATTTGATGCCATTAAAGATAATGTGAATCACTATCTAGGTGTTATATTTGTCTATTGTGTTGTAGTGATGTTCATGTCTAAGTATTGCATCAAAATCAGTCATTTATTTCTTACACACTCTTACATTTCGCTACACACAAAAGTGCACGTCCTTATATCATATGCACCCCAAGACCATTATATCATATGCACCCTAAGACCATTATATCATATGCACTCCAAGACCATTTTATCATATGCACTCCAAGACCATTATATCATATGCACCCTAAGACCATTATATCATATGCACCCCAAGACCATTATATCATATGCACTCCAAGACCATTATATCATATGCACCCCAAGACCATTATATCATATGCACTCCAAGACCATTATATCATATGCACTCCAAGACCAGACCATTATATCATATGCACTCCAAGACCATTATATCATTATGCATATGCACCCAAGACCATTATATCATATGCACCCCAAGACCATTATATCATATGCACTCCAAGACCATTATATCATATGCACTCCAAGACCATTATATCATATGCACTCCAAGACCATTATATCATATGCACTCCAAGACCATTATATCATATGCACTCCAAGACCATTATATGCACTCCAAGACCATTATATCATATGCACTCCAAGACCATTATATCATATGCACCCCAAGACCATTATATCATATGCACTCCAAGACCATTATATCATATGCACTCCAAGACCATTATATCATATGCACCCCAAGACCATTATATCATATGCACTCCAAGACCATTATATCATATGCACCCCAAGACCATTATATCATATGCACCCCAAGACCATTATATCATATGCACCCCAAGACCATTATATCATATGCACTCCAAGACCATTATATCATATGCACTCCAAGACCATTATATCATATGCACTCCAAGACCATTATATCATATGCACTCCAAGACCATTATATCATATGCACCCCAAGACCATTATATCATATGCACCTCAAGACCATTATATCATATGCACTCCAAGACCATTATATCATATGCACTCCAAGACCATTATATCATATGCACCACAAGACCATTATATCATATGCACTCCAAGACCATTATATCATATGCACCACAAGACCATTGTATCATATGCACTCCAAGACCATTATATCATATGCACCCCAAAACCATTGTATCATATGCACCACAAGACCATTATATCATATGCACCACAAGACCATTATATCATATGCACCACAAGACCATTATATCATATGCACCACAAGACCATTATATCATATGCACTCTTAGACCAATGGAATACATGATGCCCTTTTCGAAAGATATTAAACCATAGCTATGGCTTCTGTATATGGTTGCACACATGGGATTTTACAATATTATAACCCAATATATTCCAAGGGCATGATGCTAGAGCTCGAGCTGGATGGTAATTATGTTCCAAGTACTGTATAATTCTGTAATACAATCATACATTAACTACGTTATATGACATAATTAATGATCCCCACCCTTGGAAATAGTTATTAATGCAAGAGTAATAGTTATGTTTTGCAGTCAGCAGTGGAATTCTGAATATCGAAGCAGGTCCTATTTGAGCTCCATTTGAGTTGTAGAGATGAATATTATGTAATAAAAGCCTCGAGTTACAGGAAGATCAGAGGCCACGGCAGTACTGTATGCTTCAGCACAGCTCGCGTTATTAGTTGAATTTTATTTAAAAAAAACAAAAATAAAAACAAAATAAAAAAGCAAACAAAAAAGCACAAATAACCGACGAAACCCCTTTTTGTTCATACCCCAAGAATGGAATCCTGCCCTGGGTACAGTGGTAGGAAATGAATGACATACACAGCGGTAGTTCAGTGCTCGTTTTGGCCTCTCTGGCTCATATGTTTACCCGAACGTTCTGCAAAGTGGAACCCAAAACAACAAACAATTATCATCATTGTTGTTGTCGTTAGTGGCATGTATTCACTTCAGGTCATACTCAGAAGTGCGACAGATTATGTCCAAAAAACAACACCAAGGGACAGAAACACAAACTGCGAAGTTCTATATCCGCACTCTCCCCAAAAAACTCAAAACTCAACAAAAACCAAACCTAAGCAAGCCAAAATGCCCCCCCCCCAATAAAATAAATAAAAAATAAAATAAAAATAAAATAAATAAATAAATAAATAAAATAAGTAAATAAATAAATAAATAAATAAATAAATAAATAAATAAATAAATAAATAAATAAATAAATAAATAAATAAAATGATGCTTTCGAACTTCTCTGGAATAGGCCCATATACAGCCTGAGGAGAATTCCAGCCAATAAACCTGATCTTGTCCTTTTTGATACAGCCAATGAATTTATATATATCATTGAATTTTCTGTCCCTTTTGACACCAATGTGACTGGCAAGATTCAGGAAAAGCATACTAAGTATGCGGACCTCGCCTTTGAAATGTCTTGCTTGCATCCCAAGTACACTGTCGTCAGGCTCCCCATTGTTCTCGGTGCCCTAGGTTTGGTACCTCCTGATCTCTTGGCGCAGATTAGGAGAATGTCCGGGTTCTCCACCGGGAGCACAGCCCTTCTGACACTCTGGGTAATGCAGAAGGCTGCAGTGTTGGGGAGCCTTCATATTCTCCGGAAAGTTATTGGTGGGTTCGACTAGGCAGCGTTTCCTGGGAGAAGTCCCATTCGCTGTCTGGGCTGCGTGTAGACGGGGCAAGGGCCCTGAGCTGATGATGAGCCTTACCAGCCTGACTGTGCCAGGATCACCCGAACCCTCTCTGCTGCATACTATCTTTAATCTGTAAAACATTATAAATAAATAAATAAATATGTAATAAATAAATACAACAAAAACCTCTAACAACAACATAATAACAACGACACAAAAACAAACCCAAACAAGAAATATACCCTTAGTTCTTGACACAGGGATAAATTTAACCTGAAATTTAAATTTGGAGAAAGGATCCTGTCCCCGGCACAGTGTTAAGAACTGAATCAGATCTGGAGTGTGTACAGAGTTCATGTTTTTCATTAAAGCTACTATGGACTACGCGATGAGTTTACCTAAACGTTCTTCTCGATGTTCATGATGTTCATCACTGGATTGTCTGGTCCAGACTCGAGTATTTACAGACCGCCACCATATAGCTGGAATATGGCTGAGTGCCCACAAACCCACACACCTACGAATTTGTGTGTGTGTGTGTGTGTGTGTGTGTGTGTTGAGAAAGGGGAGGGAGGGGGATGGGTGTTAGCATAGTGGTTAAAGCGTTCGCTCGTCACGCCGAAGACCCGGGTTCGATTCCCAACATGGGTACTATGTGTGAAGCCCATTTCTGGTGTACCCTGCCGTGATATTGTTGGAATATTGCTAAAAGTGGCGTAAAACTAAACTCACTCACTCACTCACTCACCCTATGAATGGTCACGAGGGACATTGTTGGATAAGCTGTCTCAATTGAGCTCCAGAACCTAATGGTTGAAAATAACATATTTTCACAAATGATTAATGTAGAACGTCAGTGCAAAAGAATACCCAGTCTTCACTATCCTCGGAAACAAATGCCGTGAAAAGGGGAAAAGCTGTGAAAAGTTACATGAATGTATCACTGGTGATGACACCAGATGTTAGGGGTAAGCATATCCTGCTTAAAGAAATCCAGTGAGCTCCATAACCAAATCGCTAAAGGTTCACACAATGCTCTCCGTGTACATGCGTTCACAGGTCTCCCAGCCCGTGCTGTGTTGACCAACACTCGAGTCTCCCGGCCCACCCAGGGGACACATTACTACAGCCTCTTTCTTTCAGACAGATGACACAGGTTGTAACACCGACAGCAATTTGTCAATCCCGGTCTGCGGTCAGCACGCTTGACCGATGAGAACAGTTACCAGTCACCACTTACAGATACCTCTCCATTAAACAGAGACAGAGAGTCTTCAAACATAATATAGTGTTTAGTGTGAATTATCCTGTCATACAACCCTTTGACAGGGTTACTGAAATAGGCCTACGCTGTACTGTTGATACAAATCTTGTATAATCGCAACACTATTGGGTACGTCGTTGACACGTGTAACCTGTCAACACACACTGGTTCCATTGTCTTCTGTCTGGATTTATGCATATATGCTAAATAAATATGCTGACTGGAGCTTCTTATGCATGCGTCAGTTTCAGAATCAAACTCGTTCATCATCCCTGATGCCAAAGTGACACGATTGCTGACAAATTGCGATGGACGTGTTAAATGCAAGAATATGGTAAACAGCCAACAGTCAGTCATATATTAAATAGAATTACTTGGTCTCGCTTAGATTCTCTCACACACAGTTGTAGAAAATGTTCAGCTGTGGAAGATGTTCAGTGGTAGAAGACGTTCAGTTGTAGAAGACGTTCAGTTGAAGAAGATAATGCAGCTTGCCGTTCATTCAGTGACTGAAGATGTTGCAATTTCCTATGCAGTGTTGCGTTCTTAGATAAGGGTGAGTGAGTGAGTTTGGTTTTACACCGCTTTTAGCAACATTCCAGCAATACCACGGCGGGGGACACCAGAAATGGGCTTCACACATTGTACCCATGTTGTGAATCGAACCCGGGTCTTCGGCGTGACGAGCGAACGCGTTTGCCACTAGGCTACCCCACCGCCCCTCTTAGATAAGGATAAAGTAGTGATTGTCACAATCCTTATACGAATTACAATCATTGGATGGTTTACATCACGCTCGATCTCGGGGCTTCGTCAAAATGATACCACCTGTGTCAATAGAATGATTTTTACTGTCATCAATGTGAAGTAGCAAATCATTTGTATTATTCACCAAAATGAAAGCCATAAAAGGATTTCTTTCACAAAAGTAACTGAACTTCGAAGGGTCTTATTCACAAAATTAATAAACCATTCAGTGATTTCATTCACAAAAAGTAGCAATCATTCAAGGGCGTCACTCACAAAAGTAACAAACAATTTAGGCATTATTACAAAAGTAACAATCATTCAAAGGTG